TCCGCGTCATCTCAGCCCCCCCCCAGTGTGCCCCAGTTCTCTTCCTTCACTGCACTGGCAGTGCCTGCACGTAGGCACCCTCCTGCTCCTGGCCTGGGCAGGGGGCAAAGGCATGTGGCAGCCAGTGGGGCTACCAAGTATCCACTGCAGACATCCCTGCCCCCCTTTCTCTGAGCCCCCATACCTGCCCTGAGGCCCTGTCCCCCCCCTCCATGGGGTTTTTATCCACTGCAGACATCCCTGCCCCCCTTTCTCTGAGCCCCCATCCCTGCCCTGAGGCCCTGTCCCCCCCTTCTATGGGGTTCTGCCCCTGCCTCCCAGGTCCCAGCCCCACACACATGTGGCTCCTGGTCCTCCACCCTCATTTCTCCTTCCCTGGGCTGGAGCAGGGGTGGGGGTTGGGGTGCAGGTGCTGGGTGGGAGTTCACGAGTAGTGGGGCTCAGGGCTGGGGTGAGGAGTTGGGGTGCAGGGAATGTGGGCTCCAACTGGGAGTCAAGTGAGCTCTGGGGTGGAACCAGGGATGAAGGCTTTGGGGTGCAGGAGGCTACTTAGGGCTGGGGTAGGAGATTGGGGTGCTTCCCACGAGTGGATCCTGGCAGCAGCTGACAGGCCCGCCAATGGGGGAGGGGAAAGGGAGCAGTTGGCATGGGGGGAGGGGAAAGGGAGCAGTTGGCATGCCTGCAGACGTGCCAACGGGGAGTTGAAATGGGTCGGTTGGCCCAGGCCCCCCCAGAGCACTGCACAGCTCTGAGGGCTGCCGGGGGTGGTGGGGGAAAGAGAGCTGCTGCAGCGCACTCTGGGCGGTGCTGCCCCCAGTCCTATCCTTTCTGTGCAAGGCCTCACCTATTCCAGGGCCCCAGAGCAAGGCTTCCACCACCACCTTGCCCTTGTCTGTCAGTCCCCCTGCATGCCTGGCTCCTAGGCACAGGGGCAATCGGGTTTTCAGTGCACTCTTCCTGCCCACAGGCAAGCACTGCCCCGCCACACCCATTGGCTGGGGTTCCCGGCCAATGGGAGCCGCGGAGTTGGCAGGCGGGGTGTGAAAACTGCCCCCAATGAATTCCGAAGGCAGATCTGGAAGAAGAACGTCCCATTTTGATTTTTAAATGGTCTTTGATGGAGAATCTGCCTGGACCCCCAGTGAACTGTTCTGATGGTTAATTATTCCCACTGAGCATCGACCTAGTTTTTAATTCAAGATTAATCTTTAATACCCAGAAACTCCACCCTGAACAGACCTGGAAGACTGGTAACCCTACTGTTGCTGTTTAAAATTTACCCCTTATTTCCAGTCTGAATTAGGCTAGCTTCAACTTCCAGCGGTTGGGTTGTGAGACCTTTCTCTGCCAGATGGAGGAGCCCCATATTAAAAAGTATCAGAGGAGCAGCCATGTTAGTCTGGATCTGCAAAAGTGACAAGGAGTCCTATGGCACCTTATAGACGAACAGATGTATTGGGGCATAAGCTTCATGGGCAAAGACCCACTTCATCAGACGCATGTAGTGGAAATTTCCAGAGGCAGGTATAAATATGCAGGCCAGAATAAGGCTAGAGATAATGAGGTTAATTCAGTCAAGGAGAATTCTCACCAGTAACTATACACCAGACCACAGTAACTAACTCAGGAACCAATTCGTGCAACAAACCTCGGTGCCAACTCTGCCCTCATATCTACACCAGCCACGCCATCTCAGGACCTAACCAAATCAGCCACACCGTCACTAGTTCATTCATCTGCACATCTACCAATATGATATACGCCGTCATGCGCCAGCAATGCCCCTTTGCTATATACATCGGTCAAACCGGACAGTCCCTACGTAAAAGAATAAATGGACACAAATCAGATATTAGGAATGGCAATGTACAAAAACCTGGAGGAGAACACTTCAATCTCCCTGGACACACTGTAGCAGATCTAAAGGTAGCCATCCTGCAGCAAAAAACCTTCAAGACCCAACTTCAAAGAGTAACTGCTGAGCTACAGTTCATCTGCAAATTTGACACCATCAGTTTAGGATTAAACAAAGACTGTGAATGGCTAGCCAAGTACAAAAGCAGTTTCTCCTCTCTTGGTGTTCACATCTCCACATCAGCTGCTAGAAGTGGGCTTCATCCTTCCTGATTGAATGAACCTCATTATCGCTAGCCTTATTCTGGCCTGCATATTTATACCTACCTCTGGAAATTTCCACTACATGCATCTGACGAAGTGGGTCTTTGCCCACGAAAGCTTATGCCCC